AGTTTATCTACAATCTATGATATTTCCATATAAATGATTATATTTTAGCTCATTTGTGGCACAGTGAGGCAATGGGCCAGACGAACTGACCTTGTGGGCCATAGTTCGGTGACCCCTGTTCCAGACTATTCTAAGTTTAAAATTAAATTATAGTTACTAATTTCCTACTGTCTAACTCTAGTTGTTCTAATCATGTAATTTTTAATCAATATTTGTAGCATACGTATATTTAAACTAAAACAAACATTTTCTTCCATTTTAAATCATCATCTTCAGGTTAGAAGAAATGCAGATAGAAAAAAATGATAAAGACCCATTAGTGATAGGCTGCTTGCTGAGGATCTTCACTTCCCATGCACAAGATCACATGGTTAACCTTAACCATCTCTGTGAGTATATAGGGGCCATGACTAGATGCCTAAACACGAGGATTAAGAAACATCAATATACAATTGGAAAGAGGCTTACCACAATGGCACTGGCTAGTTTTGCAGCTGATAATGACATTCAAGTTGAATTTGATAAGGCATGTATCTTACACCACTTTGATGACCAGCCTGTCTCAAGTATCTTGAATAGACCAAAATATTCAAGGCATTCAGAAGTGAGACAGCAATTAACTGTGAGGAGATGAACTCTATTTCAATTGCGAGGAGAGGATTATTCGACTTCATGTAAGTCTTAGCGCTAATACATATATTTTATTTATTATATACAGTGAAACCTCAGTTAACGAACTTAAACCGTTCCACGACTTTGTTTGTTAACTGAAGTAATTTTTCCCATAGAAATTAATGCAAATACAATTTATCCATTCTAGCAGCAATATTTTTGTAATTTTATTTGTAAAATGGATTTTCTTTGATGAAAATATAGGAAAACATGTTCATAAACAGTTGGTCTAGGTTAAATTTTCGGAAAAGGGGAAAGATTTGAAGGGTATAAAAACATTGCATACAATCGTTAAAGTTCCAAAATGAAAGATATCAGAAACAACAGGCTAAATTATGAGCGCAAGGCTTATAAGTTTATCAACAATCTCTAATCAGACTCAATGAACAGGTGTCAAATTGACGCTTCGGAACAGACCTTTCTCATGATCTGATCTGGTTTTGGTTTTCACTTGGAGACAAAGAAGAAGAAAATCAGAAAGCAAGGAATGGGATGCAGGACCAATCAAAAGGTAAAATTCAAGGAAGAAATACTATAAAAACCCCAATTCTCAAGGTCAAAACACAGTTCTCCTAAAAATTATATGGCGATTAATCTGTGTCGTTTTCATCTGGATTAAGTCTAAATTTGTGTTGTGTCTCACGGACTGCTCTAGTCACCGCAGCTCCATCGCCTACCATCACTTCTGTGACTGAGTGAACCGATCTTGTCCGTTCCAGGCTACGACTGATCAGCTTGCACTATTGTAGGACCAGCGATATACCACTCTCAGTGCTGGGAAAAAATACTGTAGATAAACTATTTCCAACCAACTCAAATATGTAAGCATCTTCCCATTCTAATAAACGATTTTTGCTGTAAAATACTTGTCATTTTTGTCTCCTCCTCCACCACCAACATACGAATGGACCCTAGAGTATCACTGATGCGTGATTAACTAATTCCCCCCTAAAAGTCGACAAGCTTACAGATTTGACACAAAAAACCATTAAGTTCATTATCTGAGACAAAATTTTTGAAAAACAAAAGTTTGTTAACTGATTTGGTTGTTAACTGAGGTTCCACTGTATTGTAATCTTTTATATTTCAATTTGTTATATGTAGTTCATCAAAACATGATGCTAATGCTAAACTGTGCATGTGTGCATTTCATGATGATTTCAATTTTAAAATTTGTAGTGGTGTTCTATTTTTAGAATACACATTCATTTCTATCTGTTTCTTCTAATTAAAGAGTTTTGATGTAAATACAACATCAAAATATATATGGGAACATTAATTAAGCTAAGCATAGTTGAAGCATTTCAATAGTAAGATTTTGACTGCAGTTTGGTAGAACTTCTAATTGTTATTATTGTTGACAGTGTATTAATGAAGAGTTTAATTTATGCCAAATCCCAAATAGGGTTTGGCATTCCAAATTTTTTTCCATGTGCTTAAAAAAAATCTTTAAAAAGGCCAAACCTCAGGCAATACTGTTACAGTAATATCCCGAACTTACACTATAGGTGGGACCAAGCGATAACCAGGTAAGTCAAATTTGCGTAAGTCGGGGTATAATTTCGCAATTTCTGTAAAATCCAAGTGTGGTATATGTAAGCTAATAAATGTTCTCGTTAATCTTATCTCATCTTTTGATTCATTCACGGTTACAAGAAATCACCACATAGAGTCTCTCAAGTCTCCGTAGATATAACAAACACAGAAATAAATAACACAAAATAAATTGTAGCTATGTGTCGATTCTGTGTGACACGTCCGAACATGTAAGCTGAATAGTAATGTGGGGAAGTGAGTAATCAAGAGTTGCGTGGCGCTCNGAAATCACCACATAGAGTCTCTCAAGTCTCCGTAGATATAACAAACACAGAAATAAATAACACAAAATAAATTGTAGCTATGTGTCGATTCTGTGTGACACGTCCGAACATGTAAGCTGAATAGTAATGTGGGGAAGTGAGTAATCAAGAGTTGCGTGGCGCTCAAACAAAAGACAAATCAATGAGATTTGAAAATCGCATAACTCCGGGTTCGCGTAAGTCAAGGTATTACTGTACTTGTTTGTTCTGATTGTGTGTGTCTGCTATTTCTTACCGCAGTTTCAGGTTGTGCCATGTTGCACAAAATGCATTTGTTTAATTTTACATGATATCTCAATTGAAAATGCAAAATAACATTTGTTTTGTATATTATTATTCATTGTGAATGATCATAATTTAAACAATTTAAATTATTACCTAAAATGAAAAATTAATTTTGTTATTACACATTAAAGAATCACTTAAGAATCAGAAATGATAAATTTCTCTCAATTCTGATTAATTGTCCCATCTCTAATAATGTCACAAAACATTTTATTGAAGTGGAACATTTATTAACAAAGCCTATTCTATATGGCTTACAAAACTGTGTTCACTGTCAAAATTTGATGGATTGATTTTAATTAAACTTTCCATTTTCCATTAATTCCTGATGCGGAATCCAAAAATATCATAAAAATGGGGGATCCTTTACAGGTTTTTGAGATATAAGGTTGTAGCTTGAGCATGTTTGACAAAAATATTGCATGAATTGTGACTGTCAGGCAAGGTCACTAGCACATCTTCTATGGACTTACAAAATTAAGTTCATTCTCAAAATTTGATGGGCTGATTTTGATAAAGTTTTGTCATTTTCCATTAATTGCAATGAGGAATCCAAAAATGTAATAAAAAATAGGAGTCCATGATTTCATTTGCAATATACATTAGGTTCAGAGTGATAATGTCTATGCTCCCCAACACAACTAAGTCCACCTAATGGAACTGAGAAATTAAAAAAAAAATTAATTGGCATTGACTGTTTTGATCACCTCTCCATGCCAGGCTGGTGCTAGCCAAAAGAGCTATATGAGCAAAAAACCAAGAGTGTTGGTACTCAGCAGAAATAAATCTTAACCATTCAGGAAGATTAAATCATCTTTTTTAGTGTAATTTATCTGTGTACACCTTTCACTTTATTTATTGTACAAACATTTATTAGAAGAAATGTGGATCTCATAACAAAATACTATACAAATATACACAAACCAATCAAACCATCATGGCCACTCCTTGTCAATGCAAGAATTCCAAATGACAGAAACAGTGACATATCAAGGTCATCAAATAGTATATAACAGCTGACAGAAGGTTCCGCAATCAGTAATTGTTAGTGTGCAAATGGATAAAGGAGCAGATTCATTTGGCTTTAACAGAGGCTAAACTGTGATAGTCAGATGTCTTAATGCTAATATCAAGACATCTGACATGCTAACATCTATCACAAAGGTTTTGAAACAGCAAAGTCCACGGGCTGTTTCTGCTCATCAGTAGTATCCATCAAAGGCGATCCAAATATGGCAAAACAATGAACTGTCAGAAAGGTGTGGGCATAGGCTGTCTCATCTATCTAGTGTGAGAAAAAAAATAGGTGGGCTACCATGGCACATCTCTGAGTTTCAATACTGATGATGCAAGTGTATTGGAATACACTTTTTCACTGAATATTTTTAAACTTGGGTCTATGGAAGTCTAGAGCTTGTGCTTTTATTAACAATATTCATCACCAATGCATTTGCAGTGAGCATGACAGCATGAAAATCAGACTATTGGGAAATGGAAGGTTTCCTGGTCTGACAAATCACAACTCATAAATCCAATCAAACATTTACAGTTTGAGTTGGAGAAATGGGTTTGTGATGCATCACCTAAATCACATACTTTGTAGGAAACAGGATCTTCTGGTGACATTCTGGTTCTAGTTCTCACTAGACACCTTTCAAATGTCATAGAATCCATGCCTTACTAAATGCAGGCTATTTTGGTAGCAAGAAGAGAATCAACACCCTATGAAGTACTTGGTCATGATATTTTGGCCAATCAGTGTATATCTGATAGACTTGATCTGATCAATTAGAATATAACATGTAATTGATTTATATATGGAATATCAAATAAAATATAAATGTTTAAAATTTAATTGGTTTGACTAATCGGGACAAACTTTACCTACGTGCACAATTATTGCTTGACATATACGTAACCACAACGTAAATGAAACGACATGGCAACGATATATAGTAATGGAGATCGTGGAGTGGTACACTAATGAATACAAATGATTTTTGTTAAAAGCATGCTAGTGAATTAGGCCTAAATTAACAGTGTTAATCTATAATCATAAATAATATACACGTTTTACATAAAATTAAAAAAATATACAAGATGTGTTAAAAAATTATCTTTAAATTAAAAACACTAAAATAATCAGTTTGGCCAGACACTTTTAATAATAAACAATCAACTCACCGCTTTATATTCATACTGTAACGAACGTGCTGCGGCATCCGCCATCTTGGTCTAATTTACAAAGCCTCAACGTCTCGTTCTCAACTGGAAAAAATCTCGATCCAGGTCGAAGCGGTAGCTGCACTTCCGTTGGTGACGTCAGGATACTTCCGCCTTTAGTTGCGGTTGTACGGAGTTCGGAATTGATAGTAGAGATCTGTTTTAAGGAATCATCGGATAAATTTGTCGCGTTTTCATTGTGGCCATGGAATCAGGTACATTGACTGAAGAAAAAGTCACTTTGGAGCAGGTATATTTTTATTTTATTAAAGTTTAAACAATTACTTAATGATTCTTTGATTATCATGTTAGGCCTAACTATGGCGACGATCCAGTTTGTGTTCGTTCGGAACATTATTAGATTTTTTTATTTCATGCATTAGGTTAAACTCATTATTTTAAACAGATTTTAAAGATATAATAAGCAAGGCCATTTACATCCTATTTCGCCCACAACTATGATCAAAACCGCACCCGGAAGTAAGAACTCGTATTTGTTGTCCTTTTAACTGAAAAACTTTTGCAAACAACTCATCCAGAACAAAATTCAGAAAAAAGACGCTTATATACTTATCATGAAATATACGTTGATCTTTGATCTTTATATTTTAATCAAATTTGAGTTCTGATGCACATAAAAACACGTTTTAAAACTATATATTTTACTATTATTATTATTAAATGTTTAATTGAAAAATGTTCATGTATTTGACATGTATTTGTGTCATTGAAACAAGGACTTTATCTATTATTTTTTTTTCTTTATTAGGTGTATATTGAATATAATAATATATAATATGCATCAAAGCTAAAATGAATGCTACACAGAAAGATAATTACTTTTAAAGTATATATACATGATTTATAAAAGATTTTGTATAGATTAGCTTATGTGGACTGTGTATTAAGAATCATTTCAATGTTGATCTTGTCTACCAATAATATCTATACATCATTTGAGATCATTTTTCTGTTTTACTTCGTCGGACTCCCAAACTGATTTTGCGCGGTTTATAAGAATTATGTTTGGTTTATGTCGGCTTTGTTTATTCTCATTCGGAAATTCTGTAACCCTTCTGTTATGTGAATAATAAGTCATTTGAGCTAGCTTTCAATATTTATTAATGATTTTTTACAATTTTGTAGATGACAATATATACCATATATAGTTGTTAAGATGGAGCCATTTGCAAATTATACAAGATTAGATGTGGTTTTAAGAATTACAATATTTATTTTTAAACATTCTGAATTGATTATCTTAATTGTTTATTATAATACAGTATATTCTTAATTAACAGTTACAAATTTGACTGACAATTAATCCTAGAACTTCTACCTTGTGACCTATATTTTGCTGTTCTTCCTTATTAGTAATGTAAACATTGTGCTTGATATTGTTCTTCAACTTTTTATTTAGGTAATTAGTTCACTTTTTGATGAGGATATTTTAGCATAATAAGAAAAAATATTTAATAGTGAATTAAAAAATAAACAGTCAGAGAGATAAACAACTCTTTCAGTATTAAACATCTTTTATTATTCTTTAGCCACTGCTATCAGATATTTATTATTTTAGTTGAAAAACTATTATAAATAATATGTATAATTTTTCAAATTAGAATTATATTTCATTTTAAAGTTTAATTGGTTAATAATTAAAGTTCTTGTAGCTTAGTGTCTATATTAACATTGCAATTTTCTATATATAGTTGTTCTGACTGTTTTATGTTCTGGATCAGTCACACTTCAACTTCGATTGGTGGGCCAAATTGCACATAAGTTGTTGATAGAAGGCTCATAAAAATTTTCTATATTTCATATATACAAAATTAGGTCTCTTTTTATCATTTAATAAGGAATGTGTCAAGTATGTTTGCAGGCTAGATTAATGTATGCCATAGGCCAGATTTGGCTGATGGGCTGTAGTTTGGACAACCATGTTCTAGATTAGTGTCTTCATTACTAATATAGCCCATTGTTTGTTATTCTTATATAAAATGAATAGATTATTCTTGATCAGAAAATATAAATGCAACACAACATTAAAACATAATTATTTTAAATGCCAAATGTTTTATAAAAAAAGTTTATCGAAAACTTAGATTTTTAGGCTGGTTGAGCTTATTGATAAGAATTTGAAGTCCAGATAGGTGTGTTGCCCATCAGTTGGTTATATTAAAAATTAAAATTTGATGTTAAACATGTTTGAAAACTTTCTAAATTCTAGATCAGTGCAGAATTTGGAATTAAAATTTTATATAAGCTGAAGGAGCATTGCCATCTGAAAGTCAAGCCAAAGTTCTTTTAAGTGGCTAAAGCTAATTAATTTTTGAAAGCTAAAGCCATATAAAACCATATTAGAAATTAATAAATCTCTAGAAGAGCATTGTAACAGAATGAAGTTTGCAGTTTTGTATAGTATTATTGGCAACATTATTAGGAAATGGAAAATTGGAGCCGAGTTATTTCAAGCATATTTAAAGTTAATTAAAAGTATTTCAAATGATTAATATAATTAATAGATGGCAGTATGTCTAGCTATAATCCACATTCTTGAATCATTAAGTAATTAGCTCAAATTTAAACTGAGAAAGTTTTTACATATTTGTTGAGATAGAATGAAGAAATATAATACTGTTCAGTTCACATTTGTTAGTTCATATGATTATGTGAATAATTTAGTCATTATTTTATTATATTTGCTTATAATAAGTATGTAATTTAATAATTAAAAGTTCCAAATTCTACTGGGTTATATTTTAAATTAAGTGAAATTAATATAAATGTTGAGTTGAATTAGTCTAGAATCGATTAATTTTATGGAAGAAAACCTTTCAAACAACCCTAGTCTGTAAACTGCATACATGCCGGGCTGTGATTGGCTCACATATTTAAGGACTCATAGAAAATGGATTTCATAAAAACCGAAACGTATCTACTGTGTTATAGAGGGGTCGACTGTATTTTGTTCAATACAGCATACTGAATACACAAAAAATAAAGACAACCAACATATTTATTTACCAATACACAAACACAATTGCTGCAGCAAGCTTGTAATCTCTTTCCTTAGAAACTTCATTGCAAGTACTTATACAAAAAGTGCTCTGATATCCAAAGTTGCAAAAAGTTGTCAAATTTTTTATTTAACTGATTTATCTAAAAATTATATTACTGTCAGATGCAAAAGCAGACTGGACCAATTTTGGCATTTTTACTTACACTTATTTTAATTTTTGTACAAAGTAAGTTTATCTACAATCTATGATATTTCCATATAAATGATTATATTTTAGCTCATTTGTGGCACAGTGAGGCAATGGGCCAGACGAACTGACCTTGTGGGCCATAGTTCGGTGACCCCTGTTCCAGACTATTCTAAGTTTAAAATTAAATTATAGTTACTAATTTCCTACTGTCTAACTCTAGTTGTTCTAATCATGTAATTTTTAATCAATATTTGTAGCATACGTATATTTAAACTAAAACAAACATTTTCTTCCATTTTAAATCATCATCTTCAGGTTAGAAGAAATGCAGATAGAAAAAAATGATAAAGACCCATTAGTGATAGGCTGCTTGCTGAGGATCTTCACTTCCCATGCACAAGATCACATGGTTAACCTTAACCATCTCTGTGAGTATATAGGGGCCATGACTAGATGCCTAAACACGAGGATTAAGAAACATCAATATACAATTGGAAAGAGGCTTACCACAATGGCACTGGCTAGTTTTGCAGCTGATAATGACATTCAAGTTGAATTTGATAAGGCATGTATCTTACACCACTTTGATGACCAGCCTGTCTCAAGTATCTTGAATAGACCAAAATATTCAAGGCATTCAGAAGTGAGACAGCAATTAACTGTGAGGAGATGAACTCTATTTCAATTGCGAGGAGAGGATTATTCGACTTCATGTAAGTCTTAGCGCTAATACATATATTTTATTTATTATATACAGTGAAACCTCAGTTAACGAACTTAAACCGTTCCACGACTTTGTTTGTTAACTGAAGTAATTTTTCCCATAGAAATTAATGCAAATACAATTTATCCATTCTAGCAGCAATATTTTTGTAATTTTATTTGTAAAATGGATTTTCTTTGATGAAAATATAGGAAAACATGTTCATAAACAGTTGGTCTAGGTTAAATTTTCGGAAAAGGGGAAAGATTTGAAGGGTATAAAAACATTGCATACAATCGTNTATATATATATAAAAGACTGTTTTTCTAAGTAATCTAGAATCTAGCTGCAAGGACCCGCAAAAATGCAAAAAACTGCCTGTAAGTCTTGCATGTCACTTTATATTAACACTTCCACTGTTAACACTTCCACTGTTAACACTTCTATTGTTAACACTTCCATTGTTGACACTTCCACTGTTAACACTTCTATTGTTAACACTTCCATTGTTACACATCTTCGAAGTCAACCACTTTCAACCCCACATCTTCCACACCCTTATAGCTATCGAGACGCAACTGCCATAGTGCACAAATGGAGACTTGGGGCTACTACCACATACAAACACCATTTATGTGCGATGTGTAGTTTTGGCTGAAAAGTGAAGTATAGGGACACACACGTCCATTTATGTATATAGATATAGATTATTTAGGAACAAATAGTGTTTTAATTTTTTCCCTTGTATTTAACATCTAATTTTATTACAGAATGAATATATTGCAAGTTTTGTAATGATTAAGATGTGTTTAATTAATGTGGATTATATCATAAGATCAAATTTCAAAAACTTTAAATGAAATAAATATATATAAGGAATATAATTTGATACATAGACTTTTTTAATCAAATAGTAATGTTATTCAAAAATATCATTAAAAATCAGGTTAGTATTCAAAGTTTTAATATAATCTGAGTTAATGTTTTTTACAATCTTATTTAACTTATAATTTTTTAGTAAATAATAAAAATACACTTGATATATTTTGTTTATAGGTTATTAATCACTGAATTTAGTATTATTGATTCTCAATGACATTGTCAACTGTTTAGCATCATCATAAGTAGATAATTAACTTAATTTTTTTTTTAGAATTTATGATTACATCATTTTCAATCTAGTGTGATAATTAAGCATGTGATAATATTATAACTGATAATTTTTTCTGCTATACTACACAAAGAAACTTACATTTGTTTCATATACTGTTTATAGAATGTATATTTTTTAATTATGATTAAACATCTTATAAATATTTTCTATTAAACATATTT